CAAAGTTCACCCTTAGCAGATGGCGTTCACAAGACAGGGTAGCAAGACTTGCTAGAGGATAAACTCAGTGCGTAGTCACAGTCCCGTGCTGACTGAACCAAGCCTGAGCTACATGCTAATACATTCGCAACATGTTACGTTAGGATAGCGTGTATTGCAGGGATGGCGTGTGGTGCTGGCAGTGGCGTGGTTTTACCGCTGCGTATGCATGCTTGTTGTTGTTTCGTCTGCTTGCATGATTTCTCCGTCTCCGTGGTTATCCCGATGTATTGCTTGCGTGCCGTGTTTTTACCGCATTCTTGTTGTCGTTTCATATTCTTGTGTTTCTAGAAGTGGCGTGGTCTTTCCGTTGTGTTGTGAACAATAGCGTGTGCCTTTATGGTTTGTGTGGACTAAATTCTGTATAGACATTTAGTTCTCACACACCACAAATTTGTGTTTACAATGGTCTTTTGGCTTAAACAAGAAAAATTCTAAGATTTACGGTAATAAGTTTATCGACATTTTATATCTTATATCGTTKTTTTGTTTTTTATTTTAAACTTGTTTCATGTTTTTTTCCAATTAATTACAGTTAAATTTTGTGTTCTTTTTGTTTTTCACATAAATTCAGTTTTTTTCATATAAATTATTTTTTTTTTGTTTTTTATAATATACCTTAGCAGTGTATAATAATATATTTTAATTCAAAGTATAAAAGTAAAAAAATGCCTTAGGGTCCTTCAATTGTCGTGGTTGTGGTTGTGGCCTTATCCCTCATCCAGGATTCTGCTGCCCATATCTGGTGGGGGTGAAAGCAGACTGTGGCAAATGGTTATTGTGGCACCTGTGAAAGCATCTTCCCTGCAGGTCTCTGCTGTCCTTCTTTATAATTCTGGCAGGACTTACACTGGCGTACGTACTGGCTAATGTCGCGGTACATTCCTGGCCAGAGATACCGGTTGGCGACTCGGGCTACTGTCCGGCATATGTCCATGTGTCTGGCACTAGGTATATAAGTTAGCACAGGTAACCAAACATCCGGCAAAAATATCACTTGTACCGAATTTGCTGACGGCGCGTCTGCACATTAATAAAAACTCAATACCGCATTAAGTATGCATCCGGCCAGTATGCTGATCGAACACTTTTTAGCCTTGCGCGTGACAACAACAAAATAAACGCAAGGCAGCAAAGAATTGGGTAAACAGTTGCTAGTGTAAGCAAATAAGCAGTCACTCGGCCAATAACGTGCAGCAACTAAAGTTAGGGCAAAGTAGTGTAGGTATTTAGACGCTAACGTCGCTCTTATGTAGTCAGTTATTTCAACTCTTCCGCTGAGACCGGCTGCCCTTGGGATTACCAAGGGAAATAAAATTTACTAAAATTCTAAAGGAATTGTTTTACTGGCGCCCAACGTGGGCCCAAACGAAAAAATCCTTATAAAAGGACACGCGAGTTTGGCCGTGGGTTCGGACCCACCTCCTTAATAGTTTAAATAAAACCATCAGTGCCACCATAGAAGTGCCACCAAATATTATGAGCTAAAAATTTTAAACCATCAGTACCACCATAGGAGTGCCACCAAATATTATTTCTTAAACCATCAGTGCCACCATAGAAGTGCCATTTATGAACTAAAATTTTAAATAAAACCATCAGTGCCACCACAGAAGTGCCACCAAATATTATGAGCTAAAAATCCATAGGGGTGCCACAATAAATAAACCGCCAAGCATTGCGAGAAAATTGTTTAAGTGAAATCATCACTGCCACCATAAAGGTACTACAGTAAAAAAATTACCAAAAAATTTTTTGCGAAACGTGTAGATAAGAACGTTAAGCACTACAATAAAATCATCAATAAATCATCAAGCCCCGCAGAGGCGTTTCGAGGGTCAATAATCAAGCATCAATCATCCACTGAAGACCGAGAACAAATTAACATGGGAATATTTATGTAAGTAGAAAGTTCAGCAGCTACTATTCTGAGAATTCCATTCAAGAGTAAAATAGTAATCGAATCAGATAATTTGATAAATTGTTAAAATAAATACAATTACAAATACAAAATCAGAGATTTTTTTTAAATTCTAAACGATGGACTCTCAAACCCTCCAGATCCTTCTTAATACCGCAATCCGTACGGCAACGGAACATTCAAGGCAGGAATTCCAGACCCGCATTGAAGAGTTGACAAACAGGTTAGCCAGAATTGAAACTCCAACCCAGGTCGTCCAATGTGAACCAGTCACAATCCAACCAAACGTAGTGTGTGACGAATCTTTGGATCTGGTAAAAACCATGCCAGAATTCAAGGGCGACCCTACCCGCTATGTATCTTGGAGGCAAGCCGCGCACACTGCCTATAARGTKTTTGAAAATTTCCAGGGTAGCTCTAGGCACTACCAAGCCGTGGGCATCATCRGGAATAWGGTGGTAGGCGCAGCAGACGGTGTTCTGTCKWCCTTTAACACCATTTTAAATTTTCATGCAATTATTTCACGGCTAGACTTCGTCTACGCCGATAAGAGGCCTATCCATTTGATAGAGCAGGAACTCTCCACTTTGAGACAGGGTAAACTTTCAGTGATAGGATTCTACGATGAGGTTGAAAGGAAGCTGACCCTAATAATTAACAAAACCATTATGACCCATGGTGGAAATGCCACACTAATAGAATCACTCAATAATAAGTATCGCGAAGACGCTCTTCGTGTTTTTATCTCAGGACTCAATCGTCTTTTGTGCGAYATATTGTTTTCCTCCAGGCCTAGCGATCTCCCCTCTGTATTAGCTTTAGCACAGGAACTTGAATCAAATCAAGCTAGGTCAATGTTTGCCCTGTCTTTTAGCAGGCAAACAATTCAGGCTCCCAACCAATTTTCATATTTACCACAATACCGAACGATTCGGCCTGACCAACAGCGACAAACTCAGGCACAAAGGGTCGTACCAATGGATGTAGATCCATCGCTCTCAAGGTTCAGACAAAATGGACCCCCACCAATAAACAGGAATGATGAGAGGGTCCATCAAGGAGCCTATCCAAGGGCTCCTCGTCCGGGTATTGGCAACCCCAGTGGCTTGTCCAACCGAAACACCACTCAAACCTTCGGAAAACAGTTACCACATTTTTTTAGTAGGGAAAGGCCAGAGAAAAGACCACACGGGAGTGGCCAGCAGGTACTACCAAAGGTACAAAGGATAAACAACCTTACCCATGAGCAGGATGAGTCTAAAGGAGAATATTGGAATAATGACAATAATGATAACTACCACCAGAGCGAGGTTTATGAAGAATTTAAAACAGTCGAATATCAAAACGAAGCAAATGACGAGGTGAATTTTTTAGGGCAAAATCCCTCTTACCCTACATCGAACGGACAAGCGGGGGAAGAGATATAAAATTCCTTATCGACACTGGTGCCGCGAAGAATTACATAAGATATCTCAACGATCTAAAGGGAATCAAACCCGCAAACCGCACTTTCACAGCCAAATCCATCCACTGCACCACTGAAATTGACAAATATTGTACCATCAACATTTTTAACAAAAATTCTAGATTTTTTATCCTACCCAACCTGGACACTTTCGACGGTATCATAGGTTTTGACCTATTAAACGAAGTGAACGGTAAAATAGATTGTAAAAACGGTCTTCTTGGTTATAAAGGTGGACAGGAAAGGCTCTTTTATCACTATTGCCCGGACGTGAATAAATTAATAGAAACAAACGTGAGCGAGTTGGATATTCTTAAATTATTGCAACAACACGCTAAAGTTTTCGCGGACCCCAATGAAGCTCTACCCTATAACACCAATATCATTGGAGCAATAAGGACCACCGATGACCTTCCGGTTTACTCGAGAAGCTACCCATACCCCACAGCTTCAGCCGATTTTGTCAATAAGGATTTCGAACCTCTTGCGTGATGGTATAATAAGACCATCCCGCTCTCCTTATAATAATCCGATTTGGGTTGTAAGAAAAAGGGCGTCGATGAAGATGGCAATAGGAAGTCCAGACTCGTGATAGATTTTAGAAAACTGAATAGCAAAACGGTTAGTGACAAGTATCCAATCCCGGATACTTCTGTAATTCTGGCTAACATTGGAAATGCCAGGTTTTTTTTCAACAATAGACCTAAAGTCCGGCTTCCACCAAATTATGTTAGCTGAAAGAGATCGGGAAAAAACAGCATTCTCAGTCAATAACGGCAAATACGAGTTCTGTAGGCTCCCTTTTGGCTTAAAAAATGCGCCCAGCATCTTCCAGATGGCTATCGATGACGTATTAAGAGAAGAAATCGGTAAAATATGCCATGTCTACGTGGACGATGTGATAATTTTTTCAGAAAGTGCTGAGCAACATTCAAAGGACGTAGACCAGGTACTACACAAACTTCATGCCGCTAACATGCGGGTGTCCGCTGACAAATCCAAATTTTTTCAGGAAAGCCTCGAATTTCTGWGCTTTACAGTGTTTAAAGAAGGTATAAAGATATATCCCGCTAAAGTCAGGGACATTTTGGACTTCGCTGTCACCAAATCCTTGAGAGCCTTACGCTCATTCTTGGGATTGGCCGGCTATTACAGACGATTCGTAAAGGACTACGCTGCGATTACAAAGCCCCTAACAAAATACTCGCGTGGGGAAAATGGAAATATCGGTGCTAACCAATCCCGGAAAATCGAAATAACATTAGATGAAGAAGCACTTAACGCCTTTGGTAGAATTAAAAAGACTCTTGCATCAGAGGATGTACTGCTCCTTTACCTAGACTACAAGCAGCCCTTTGATCTGACAACGGACGCCTCTTCACATGCCATAGGCGCTGTTTTGTCGCAAAACGGCAGACCTATCACCATGATCTCGAGAACTATGTCTCAGACAGAAGAAATCTATGCAACCAATGAAAGAGAGCTCTTGGCAATCGTGTGGGCCCTACAAAAATTACGTAACTATTTGTACGGCGTAAAACACTTAAACATTTATACAGATCATCAACCACTCACCTTCGCTCTGTCCGATAAAACCCCAAATGCAAAGATGAATAGGAGTCGCGCTTTTATTGAGGAGTTTTCACCCAAGTTTCACTACAAACCCGGTAAAGAAAACTTTGTCGCCGATGCACTTTCCCGGCAATACATAAATGCCACCAACAGCGAGTTGCCACTCACTCAAGCAATACCTAAAGTAGAGAACCCCATTAATTGTTTCCGAACTCAGATTATTCTGGAAGAGGGAGCCAAATTACCGGTTAGCACGTCGATCCTCTTTAAGACATCGAATATCGTTCAGTAAAATACAGGATTTACTGAAATCCATTAAGCAATGTGTTAACCCGAACATCGTTAACGGGTTGCCATGCGAACTCCACACAATGGCACTGATCCAAAGCGAACTTACCACATCTTTCCCGGGAATAAAGTTCCGTCACGCAACTTGTGTTGGAAAAAAACTGTTTGCACGCTTTGAGATATCCTGGCTTGTAACAAACAATGCATTACTTCCCGTGGATGAGGGCTGTGAAATATGCCCATGGCTAATGACACCATACTGGAATTCAAAAACTGACATAGCAAAAAATTCAAAAAAGTGTTTGCAAGAGTGTTTTATGTTATTGAAGCAGAGATTTACGATACTCCAAGAGAAAATTCGTGTATCGACAGAGCTGTCACTCCACGTTAAAATAAATTTTTAATAGACGATTATATCCTTATCAATGGCGATTACAACAATAGTGATGTATGAGAATTAGCAATAATTTTAGAAGYTTCATATTAGTTTATAATAAAAATAATAAACCTAAATTCAGTGCAGTTTTGATACAAAAATTAAATAAATGTAATTCACTATTTTATTTATAAAAATAATAATGATATATGAACAAAAATATAATTCTCTTTTTTATGTAAAATTAATGTACTTTTGGGCATTAAATAATATTTAATTACGCATTAACAAAATTCAACATTCATGGAAACTTGGAGAGTTTCTTTCCACGAGTTTTTCTGAGAAAATCTGCATGTTTTGTACAAAGCACTATGTTTTGCTATAACAAAAAAAGCCTCTGAAAAGTTTGAAAATTCACGTCACTTGCCTCATCAGTTTCATAACGACTCAAAACTGCTTTTGACTTTTTGGTAACCTTCAAGAATAAACAACATATAGGAGATTTGTAAAATATAGTAAAAAAATTAAAGGTTGATCAGTGCAACGTCGCTTTCTTTGCTGTTTTACTACTGATGTTGCTGTTATTTTTGTTTCTGATGTTGTTGTTGTTGCTGATGTTTCTTCCAATGAATTCAACGTACAGTTTTCGCCACTGCTTCCAAGAAAGAGATGAACTGTAAAAAAATAAAGTAAAAGCGAAACCAAAAAGTATTTCTGGGAAAAATAATAATTCATATTTCATAAGAATTCATATTCGAAATTTACATAAGAATGGAAACTACGCTGTCAAACTGCTAAAGTGACTGCTTATTGCTTTCAATATATGACATCCTAATTAGTATTCCATATATTGCTTTCCATAAGCAATAGGGGTCTCCTTAGGCAATAGGCACGGCAATACAGTTAGTATGACATAAATTTTATCCCGTCAAGATGCCCCGTTACTTTTAATGCTTGTTAGTTGACTATTTTTTAGCAACTATTTATTTTACTTAATTTTTTCTACTGAAAATGTAGATATGTCGTCAGTTTCTATATTATTATTTGATTTTACTTCACTTTCACTTGAGCATTGGTAAAATTTGAACCGGGGAATCCACTCACATAAATGTTAACATTGTTTTGGTTTTAGCAGAAGGGAATCTAAATTTCTTATAATTTTGTTGAGTTGAAGTTGAAAAATACTTCAATATAAAGTATTTACTTATATTATTCATGCAATGGCTCCATGAAAGTATCAAACAAGCATAGAATTGTATTTTTCTATGCGCCATCAATATTTTTTATCAACCAGGGAATTGTGTGGATATGGAAAGTACGAATATTTGCAAATACTTATATTTAGAGAATAGCATATCTTGATTTCTTTGAATTGTTTGGTTCAATTAAAATATTTGGTAATTACGAAAATATCAAAAAAGTATTTCTCTTTTTAATATTTTACATTATAATTTAATAAATTAATCAACTATTTAAAGGTACATACCTAAGTATATCGGTGTGTTTAGCAATTAATGACAATTTTCATCGTACGTTCATTCTAATTGAACTTAAACTATCGATAAATAGTTGTTCGCTTGTAAATGAATGAAATAAAGTACTTTCGATGCTTTATTTTTATACGAAAGTATAAAGCAGAGAACGTCTATCATAGAGAAGGTTCACGGCGCGGAGATCGTAAAAATATTTTTGGCTAACTCGGTCGAGATGAGCCAGTTTCACCACTG